GGAAACTTGGCTGCGGCAGGACCAAGCTTCTGCCTCCTGCCCCCGCAGGGGAGAGCGGTGGGCGGGGGGGGGGGCTGAGTGGGGCTGGGGGCCGGGACCGCGGCAGGCAGCAGCGTGCTACTCAAAATTGGCTTACGTGCCATGTTTGGCACGTGTGCCATAGGTTGCCGACCCCTGCCCTACAAGTTATTTGGCCCAGGTGAGAGGATGGTTCAGCAACAACACAACAGGTCATCACAGGAAGTGAGGAAACTGTCCTACTGAAACTGCCAGGAGTACTTATGATTAGGAGTACTTACAGATCAAGCAGTAGATATGTGTACAGAATGGGTATATGTTTTCTTACAAACTGGCCTTGTCTGTATTATGTTTTTTGGACAAAAATATGATGGTACTGTTGCCCTTTGGTCGAAACAGTTATCCAATATTTGGAGCCGTGCTTCATTATTTATACGAGCAAGATATTTCTCTGGTGCAATTCTGTTTATTTACAAAGAATGTACACAAAGTGCCATTTTCCTGGAAATAGTAGGAACAAATGGCAGACAGCTTCCTTGCTCACATTTTGAAAGCCTGCCTTTTCCAGAGAGTCCAGTGCCCCAAGGAATTCTGTCTCTGCTCCCTACTCAAGGCCATGGTCTCTACATATCTTTCATTGTCTGCTGGTTTTCTGGCAGCTTTTTCCTTCTGATACAGTCCGCTGGACCCAATCAATGCCCTAGCCCCTATTTTTACAATCAGTCCCCAGGAAAATGCCTTGGCTCACACAGCTCAGGTCCTGCTGTGCTTTTCCTTCCTTGGAGGGCAGCTTCTATTGTTTCAGCTATCACTGAAGAAAGGGAACCTTTTCTAGATCTGTGATTGATAGGTGCTGTTAACAGTACTAACGTAACTTGATATCCTAATATTATATGTGACTTTTCTAGATTCCAGAATTTGACAACTTGTACCTGGATATGAATGGTATCATCCATCAGTGTTCACACCCTAATGATGACGATGTTCACTTCAGAATCTCAGATGATAAGATCTTTGCTGATATTTTTCACTACTTGGAAGTATTATTTCGCATTATTAAACCAAGAAAGGTTTTCTTCATGGCAGTTGATGGAGTGGCTCCAAGAGCAAAAATGAACCAGCAGCGTGGGAGACGTTTTAGGTGAAAACATTTTAATGTTGCCCTGTTTATAAATCCATAGGACAGCACATTTTTATGAGATTTTTTAAATTTACAAATTGAAATAAGTATTAAATACATAGTTTTAAATGATGATGCTTTTGACTATAGCATTGTTTGGGTTTTGTTAAATAATAACTGGGCAGTCATAAATCAGAACTGAGGATTTTTTGCCAGTGCATTTGAAAAAAACCTGTATACCAGGGAGTACTTTTCATCTTTTGCTTTTGAAGCGAACTTGCAGTTTGCACAGCACTGCAGAGGCTAGTATAAATCATCTCCTATTGGAACCAATGGCTTAGAACAAGGGTTCTCCAACTTCATTGCACTGCGACCCCCTTCTGACAACAAAAATTACTGCACGACCCCAGGAGGGGGAGCAAAGCCCGAACCCCACTGCCTTGGGTGGGGGCCTGTAACCTGATCTCTGTTGCCCAGGGCTGAAGCCAAAGCCTGAGCCCCACCACCCAGGGCTAAAGCTCTCAAACTTCAGCTTTGGCCCCAGGCGGTGGGGCTCGGGCTTTTGCTTCAGCCCCAAGCCCCAGCAAGTCTAACACCAGTCCTGGCGACCCCATTAAAATGGGATTGTGACCCACTTTGGGGTCCCGACCCACAGTTTGAGAACCCCTGGCTTAGAACTTTGAGTTTGTAAAATTTGTGCCTTGATCATTCAAAGGAGCATGGACCCAAGAATGGTGATCTAGCACAGCATGTATCTTTTGGGAACAGAAGTTATAGGTGCTGCTTCTTTTTCCATCTTTAAGACTGTTTTTCTATAAATCTACATATTCCAGTTTATCACTGTACAAAGAAGCAGTAATAGGACTGCTTTTGGAATCTGTGAATGCCATCTTAAAGAAGCCTTTGTGGTCACTGTATATAGTGAAGTTTTCCTTGACAGCCAGTGTGGAGGAGGGAAAGAGACTGAGGTTTGAGAACTAATAAAATTCTAGACTCTAGTAACATTGGCCATCAGGCTAGCTAAATAATTTAGTTTACATCTAGATCATATACAGTAAAGATCATTAAAATCTTGATGTTTACTGCTTGCCGTAGCAGCTTTTGTGAACTTTGGGGACAGCAGCCACATTGACAGGGCATATTGGAAGTTGGAGATAGGGCTGGCCATTTCCTCTTTTTGTTCTGAACAACTGATGCTACAGTACTTCCTTTTCTTCACCAGTGGGTGCTATGGGGAGTTCCATTCACTGTAGACTGTTTCTCTTCAGGTTTCACTTGCCTCTTACTGTTGTCACTAGCAGGGTAAGGAAGGAAGCCAGAGGTTTGGAGATGCGAGGAGACCATTTGGGGACCATTGGGAGGACAAGAAAAACAATTGGTGGGGCAATAGGCAAGATTGTCATGGGGTTGAGGAGGAGATGAGAGAGAATAATTGTGGATAAAAAATAAATGTGAAAAGAACAAATAAGAAAGCCAGAGGGTTTTAAAGAAAAATTAAAACATTAAAAAAGGATAGAACAATATCAGGAAAAAATGTGAAGAAAAACAGGTGGGAGTGGGGAGGAAAGCATCAAGATAAAAATGAAGAGATTGTCCACAAATTATTTTCTCTTCTATGTCCTTTAATTCTGAGGGGGGAAAGATTAGCTTAGTCAGTATTTTGACACTTGCCATTTATCTGCTGCCAGCTGGTTCTCTTTTCCTCCCATTGGCCCCCAAATGGTCTTCTCAGCCCTGTATATATTACTAGTATATGTGCAGCATACATCTTATCCTTGCTGTAGAAAATTCAAAACAGCTTCTTTATTTTCTATGTGCACTAAAAACAAAATTAAAAGACTGACTAAGAATTACATTTCCCTTTTAATTTATTTTAAGAAGGAACTCTACATTTAATTTTTTGAGGAAAAAATAGTGTACATACAATACTGTAAAATTCAATGGTTTTTTTTAGGTCAGCAAAAGAAGCAGAGGACAAAATAAAGAAGGCTTTAGAAAAAGGAGACGTTCTCCCTACAGAAGCCAGGTTTGACTCCAATTGTATTACACCAGGTAGGAAAATGTGCTGGTTATTTACAGGAGAATTGCTGTGATTAATCATTTTGCCTTTCTGTCATCTGATTTTTCAATAGGATTTGTTCTGCTAAATCACTTGGGCACTTTTGAAAATCCCAGCCAAATTTAATATTTAAAACCCGAAAACTCTTCAAAAGTACTCCACCTTCCACACTTTGCAAAAATGAATTGTTTTTTCTATCACTAATCGCTAATATCCCTCATAAATGTATAAATGGAATTTTGAATAATTCTTAAAATGACAATGTATCAGAAGATGTAACTTGTAGATTTCTGTTACTAGGGACTGATTTCATGGCCAGGTTGCACGAACATCTGAAGTATTTTGTAAATATGAAGATTTCCACAGACAAATCCTGGCATGGCGTAACTGTCTACTTATCAGGCCACGAGGTTATTGTGTTTATATTACTGATTTTTTTTTTTAAATAGTATTTTCAGAATAGTGTTTACTGAATTGTTTTATCTTTGCATTTAGACACCAGGTGAAGGAGAGCATAAAATTATGGAATTTATCCGATCAGAGAAAACAAAGCCTGATTACGATCCAAACACAAGACATTGTCTATATGGTTTAGATGCTGACTTGGTATGTGCAAATGTATTTTATACTCATAATGACAAAAGGCTATTATGTGTGTGACTTGGGCATCTATTCAATATTTTGTTGGAATATATGACTATAATACATTATTAAACAAAAAACTTGACATTTATGGCAAACTAAAAATTTACAATGAGGAACCACGGAGCATGGAAATATCCTGACACTGGTCACTTCTTGAATAATAATAAAACCCCTTCTTAATCTCTTATTTCCACAGATTATGCTTGGATTAACAAGTCATGAGTCACATTTCTCACTTTTAAGAGAAGAAGTCAGGTTTGGTGGCAAAAAATCCCAGAGGTAAACTGCTTCTAAAAATCTTATTTATAGGAAGAAAGGAGATCCAAAAGATGCAGGGTTGCTTAGATTATTTTCTTTAAATGACTGCATATTTAATCAGTCAGGTAATTGTTGTATTTTAATTTGATTATGGATGAATATTATAAATTCATATAAATTTATTTTATAAATATTAATATTTATGTTAATATACATATTTTCTATTTGCCTGAATGAGCAAATTGAAAAAAAGTCTGCAATTTGGTGTTTGTGGAACCTAATACCAACTGAACTGCTAGAAAATCCTGAGAGCTATAGTGCACCACATTGTGCCTCTGGCTTCGTGCCCTAGGGCAGGCAGCTCATACTATACTGATACTATTTCCCACAATAGATTGGTCTTGTTCTTATAGATTCGTTCATTTAAAAAAACAAAACAAAACACTAAGGACTTGTCTACATGGGGAAATTGACCAGAATGGCATTTGAGGAGTAAACTATTCCAGAATAGCTCCCCTCTGGACATTCTTATTCCAGAGTATAGGAATACCTTTTCCCAATTTCCTTTAATCTACAGGTAAAGGTAAATCAGAAGAAGGCCCCTTCTTCTGGTATTAAAGTGTCCACACGGGAAGCTATTCTGATCACTATCCCCATGTAAACAGATCCTAAACTTCTTGGTGGTGGGGTGGGCTGGAGAAAGAGAGAGAACATGCTATATTGTATGTACAGGAAAGCTCTCAGATACTATGGTAATGAGAGCCATGTAAGTACCTAAAGAGATACATAGCTCTTGTTGATGTGCTCTAGCCAAGAACCCAAAATAAATTCCAGTGCAAAAGGACTGGACCATGCTTTATAAAGTTTAAGGCCAGATCATCTAGTCTGACCTCCTGTATATCACAGGCTCCAGCACTCACACACTAAACCCAGCAACCAAAATGAAACCAAGGTATTACAGCCCACAGGAGTCTAAACAGTTGTGTATCACAAGCAGAGAATAGGAGGGACTGAGGTGCACCAAGGTCCCCACAATGATACAGAATTGATTAAGTGGGCTATATCCAGATGATCCCAGCAAGTGACCTGCACCCATGCTGCAGAGGAAGGAGAAAACCCCCAGAGATCACTGCCAAACTGGTCTGGGGGAAAATTCCTTCTTGACCCTACATATGATGATCAGTTAGACCCTGAGCATGCGAGCAAGAATCACCCAGATTAGCACCCGAGAGAGAATGCTTGGTGCAATCTTAGAGTACCAGCCCACCCTGTCCAGCATCCCATTTCCTTCTGTAGTCATTTCTGATATGACAGAGGAAGGAGACCAAACAAGCCCAAAGCCCAACCAAAATAGAATCATAGAATATCAGGGTTGGAAGGGACCTCAGGAGGTCATCTAGTCCAACCCCCTGCTCAAAGCAGGACCAATTCCCAGCCAGGGCTTTGTCAAGCCTGACCTTAAAAACCTCTAAGGAAGGAGATTCCACCACCTCCCTAGGTAACCCATTCACCACCCTCCTAGTGAAAAAGTTTTTCCTAATATCCAACTTAAACCTCCACAACTGCAACTTGAGACCATTACTCCTTGTTCTGTCATCAGGTACCACTGAGAACAGTCTAGATCCATCCTCTTTGGAACCCCCTTTCAGGTAGTTGAAAGCAGCTATCAAATCCCCCCTCATTCTTCTCTTCTGCAGACTAAACAATCCCAGTTCCCTCAGCCTCTCCTCATAAGTCATGTGTTCCAGCCCCCTAATTATTTTTGTTGCCCTCCGTTGGACTCTTTCCAATTTTTCCACATCCTTCTTATAGTATGGGGCCCAAAACTGGACACAGTACTCCAGATGAGGCCTCACCAATGTCGAATAGAGGGGAATGATCACGTCCCTCGATCTGCTGGCAATGCCCCTACTTATACAGCCCAAAATGCCGTTAGCCTTCTTGACAACAGTGGCACACTGTCAACTCATATCCAGCTTTTCGTCCACTGTAACCCCTAGGTCCTTTTCTGCAGAACTGCTTCCTAGCCATTTGGTCCCTAGTCTGTAACAGTGCATGGGATTCTTCCGTCCTAACCTCATCAGGTTTCTTTGGTCCAATCCTCTAATTTGTCTAGGTCCCTCTGTATCCTATCCCTACCCTCCAGCGTATCTACCACTCCTCCCAGTTTAGTGTCATCTGCAAACTTGCTGAGAGTGCAGTCCACGCCATCCTCCAGATTATTAATGAAGATATTGAACAAAACCGGCCCCAGGACCGACCCCTGAGGCACTCCACTTGAAACCGGCTGCCAACTAGACATGGAGCCGTTGATCACTACCCGTTGAGCCCGACAATCTAGCCAGCTTTCTATCCACCTTATAGTCCATTCATCCAGCCCATACTTCTTTAACTTGCTGGCAAGAATACTGTGGGAGACTGTATCATAAGCTTTGCTAATGTCAAGGAATAACACATCCACTGCTTTCCCCACATCCACAGAGTCCGTTATCTCCTCATAGAAAGCAATTAGGGTAGTCAGGCATGACTTGCCCTTGGTGAATCCATGCTGACTGTTCCTGATCACTTTCCTCTCCTCTAAGTGCTTCAGGATTGATTCCTTGAGGACCTGCTCCATGATTTTTCCAGGGACTGAGATGAGGCTGCCTGGCCTGAAGTTCCCCGGATCCTCCCTTCCCTTTTTTAAAGATGGGCACTACATTAGCCTTTTTCCAGTCATCCAGGACCTCCCTCAATGAGCATGCCTGAGCAATATTTTTATACTCCTCCCTGGTCATTTGTCCAATCTTCCACTTCTTGTCAGCTTCTTTTTTGCGTTTAAGGTCAGCAAGGATTTCACTGTTAAGCCAAGCTGGTCGCCTGCCATATTTACTGTTCTTTCTACACATTGGGATGTTTTTTTCCTGCAACCTCAATAAGGACTCTTTAAAATACAGCCAGCTCTCCTGGACTCCTTTCCCCCTCATGTTATTCTCCCAGGAGATCCTGCCCATCAGTTCCCTGATGGAGTCAAAGTCTGCTTTTCTGAAGTCCAGGGTCCATATTCTGCTGCTCTCCTTTCTTCCTTGTGTCAGGATCCTGAACTCGACCATCTCATGGTCACTTTCTCCCAGGTTCCCATCCACTTTTGCTTCCCCTACTAATTCTTCACGGTTTGTGAGCAGCAGGTCTAAAAGAGCTCTGCCCCTAGTTGGTTCCTCCAGCACTTGCACCCGGAAATTGTCCCCTACACTTTCCAAAAACTTCCTGGATTGTCTGTGCACTGCTGTATTGCTCTCCCAGCAGATATCAGGGTGATTAAAGTCTCCCATGAGAACCAAGGCCTGCGATCTAGCAACTTCTGCTAGTTGCCAGAAGAAAGCCTCGTCCACCTCATCCCCCTGGTCTGGTGGTCTATAGCAGACTCCCACCACAACATCACTCTTGTTGTTCACATTTCTAAACTTAATCCAGAGACTCTCAGGTTTTTCTGCAGTTTCATACCGGAGCTCTGAGCAGTCATACTCCTCTCTTACATACAATGCAACTCCCCCACCTTTTCTGCCCTGCCCGTCCTTCCTGAACAGTTTATATCCACCCATGACAGTACTCCAGTCATGTGAGTTTTCCCACCAAGTCTCTGTTATTCCAATGACATCCTTGACTGTGCCAGGACTTCCAGTTCTCCCTGCTTGTTTCCCAGGCTTCTTGCATTTGTGTATAGGCACTTAAGATAACTCGCTGATTGTCCCGCTTTCTCAGTCTGAGACAGGAGTCCTCCCCTCTTGCACTCTCCTGCTCGTGCTTCCTCCCGGTATTCCATTTCCTCACTTACCTCAGGACTTTGGTCTCCTTCCCCCAGTGAACCTAGTTTAAAGCCCTCCTCACTAGGTTAGCCAGCCTGCTTGTGAAGATGTTCTTCCCTCTCTTCGTTAGGTAGAGCCTGTCTCTGCCTAGCACTCCTCCTCCTTGGAACACCATCCCATGGTCGAAGAATCCAAAGCCTTCTCTCCGACACCACCTGCGTAGCCGTTTGTTGACTTCCACAATTCGACGGGTCTCTATCCAGGTCTTTTCCCTGCACAGGGAGGATGGACGAGAACACCACTTGCGCCTCAAACTCCTTTATCCAGAGCCATTGAGGAGAAGGGAAAAAAAAACAAAAAAATCTTCCTGACTGTCTGAAGCCCTTGTGCATTTATTCCCTTAACATGGAATTTAGGTGTTGCATAGGGCCTAGTTCACCAACCTTGCAAAGAGTTGGCTTTCACCTAGATAAACTTCAGAGGGAGGGTATTTTATATTCATAGCCTACTCCCAGGCCAAAATCAGCAGTGTGCGTATGTGTGCATCCACAGGCTTGTCTATGACGGGGGATCCCCAGCAATATTAATACTTACGAGTTATGTAACCCTTCTTATATTCAGAGCACTTCACAGATATTATCTAGTTAATCTTATCAGATCTTCAAAGTAGGTAAATAAAGAGTTTTCGCATTTTACTTGTGGGAAAGTTGAGACACAAGTTACGTTGACTTGCCCCAAATCATATACTGAGTCAATGTCAGAGCCAGGATTAGAGCGCAGGAATTCCCAGTTACCATACCTATGCTGAAGCCAGTGGACCACACTCGCTTTTCCAAACTGGGCATCTCCATTTTCTTAAAAGCAGACTTCTGCAAACACTTATGTGCTTAATTTTGAAGTCACTGCCAGTATTCACATGCTTAAAATTAGGCAAGAGTGTAATTGTTTGCTGGATTGAAGTCTGAGTCTCTGCTGCTTTTTAGAACACTTCCTGGGTAGCCAGTAAGGCAAAATTATATTATTGAAACAGAGTCTTTGTAAAATGCAATTAGTATTTATTTGCTCCTGACAACAAGTATTCAGACATCATAATCTTTAGCAATGCAGCCAAATACATAATAGCTGAGTACTTATTTTTGGATAACTATAGTGGACTATTATATACATCAGAAATATTTATAAATAGTTGATTTCATGTTTTGAATAATTTACAGAGCATGTGCCCCAGAAGAAACCACATTTCACTTACTGCACTTGTCATTAATGAGAGAATATATTGACTATGAATTTTCACCGGTAAAAGTAAGTATTAATGGAACCATGGGCAAAAGACGTTAAAACTTTGTATACAAACTTGATCATAAAGCTTTTCTTATTTTTTAGGACAAGATTTCTTTTCAATATGACATTGAAAGGATAATAGATGATTGGATCTTAATGGGGTTTCTTGTAGGCAATGACTTTATTCCTCATCTCCCTCATTTACATATTAATCATGATGCGCTGCCACTACTTTATAAAACATATATGGCTATCCTGCCAGAACTTGGAGGTAAGTAATTTTAAAAATATATTTAATCAGAAACATACTTATAGTTCTGGAACAGAAATCAAAGGAAAGGTTAAACTGAAGTGTTGCCTATATAGACCTTACTAGTATAACAATATTGTTTGATAGTACTTGCTGAAGTGTGAGCTAGTCAATTCTTCTTCGAGTGCTTGCTCATGTGTATTCCACAGTAGGTGTGCATGCGCGCCACGTGCACCGGTGCCGAAAGTTTTTCCCTTAGCAGTACCCGTAAGGGGGGAGCACCGCTGCGACCCCTGGAGTGGCGCCTCTATATCGCGCTATAAGGGGAGCTGCGTGCTCCCCCCACCCTCAGTTCCTTCTTGCCGCCAGTGAAGGTGCGTTGGAACTTCTTGCTCCAGCTCTGCTGCAGCCTTTCCAGTTGGTCTTAGTGGTACCTTTAGCTAGTTATTAGTAGCTCGTAGAAAGTAGTTTTTCAGTTGTTATTGTGGGCCCGGGGCATGTCCTGTGCCCTAGGCTTCAAGTCGTGCGACTCCTGTCGCCGTTCCATGCCAAGGAGTGATCCGCATGCTGAGTGTCTCCGCTGCTTGGGCGAAACTCATGTGAGTGAACGTTGCAAGATCTGCAGGTCTTTTAAGCCACGAACTAAGAAGGAGAGGGACATCAGGCTTCGCGCTCTCCTCATGGAATCAGCGCTGGCTCCAACTTCGGTACGCCAAGTGGACTCGGCGCCAGGCACCGCATTGTCGGTGCGCAGCGAAGCCCCCTTCCCCAGTCGGCATCGCTCGCCTTCCAAGAAGCAAAGGAAGAGCTTGACTTTGCAGCGGCGCCGTGAGAAGGCGTTGGGCAGCCCTCGGTTCCCCCCGGGCTCAAAACCTCCGACTCGTGCTGAGCAGAGTAGCCCAGCAGCGTCAACACGCACCTCTCTTGCGGTCCCGATCCCATCAATGCCGGAGGCTCTACAGGCAGCTCGAGACATTTTGAGCTTGCCGGTGCCCGGGGTGCCACCGGTGGCGGGCCCCTGGTCTCAAGGCAAAATGCCGCTGGGTGCGCGACAGGCCTCCCCGGTATGGTGCAGCTCTCACTCTGAAGACCGCTCTCTACCCCGTTCTGCACGCAGTGACAGGTCCACTCGCAGCTCGCGTCCACCACCCTCGATGCCAGCCAGGTTACCCAGTTCGGTGCCGCCCGGGCAGGAGTCTCAGGGTCCCTCCACGCCATGCAGCAGCCGGCGCAGGCACTGAGATAGGCGTCAAAGGCGCTCCTCTTCACGACACAGCTATCGCAGCCAGTCTCATTACGACCAACGTCGACGCTCCCACTCGAGCTCCCGCTCTGTCAGACGTCACACACGGGGCTCCCGCCGCGTGTCATCGGCCCACGGCACCGCAGCTCCAGCACCGAAGCGAATCTTGGAGCAGTACTTCCGGGGGGTACCGGTCCTCGACGTCGAGGCACCGGGGGGTACCGGTCCCGGCATCGTAGGCACCGTCGCTCCCACCGCTCCTATGGTACCGTTCGGTTGGTGGTGACCTCGGCCTCGGCACCCAGCCACCCTCGCTGGGCCGTACTGATCAGCCGGACCAGATAGTGCCACCTGGCCCGCAGCATGGATAGTGGCAAGGAGCCCCATGGCAGGGACAATGGTGTCAATGGGCACCGTAGCCGCTGATGCCCACCCAGGCGGTAACCCGCTCGGTGGCCGGGGCATCTGAGGCCCCGTCGGTCTCGCTATCTAGGCCAAGGCACACATCGACAGATCATGAGTCGTCAGCTCCGTGCTTGGACTCCGACCTGGGGGTTGATCCCCCGGCACCGGCTGTGGCCCACAGCCCCGTGCCGGCCTCCTCTCCTGCACCGGATGATACCATCATGGCACCGCCCTCTGCTCCACAGGAAGACTTCAGGGCGCATCAAGACCTGCTAAAGCGGGTGGCGTCGAGCCTCCAGCTGCAGGCTGAGGAGATGGAGGGCCCATCTGATTCCCTCTTTAATGTACTGTCCCCCTCGGTGCCGGGCCATGTGGCTTTACCCCTTCACCAAGGAGTAGCCAACATCTCCAATGCCCTGTGGTTAACTCCTGCCTCTCTGGCCCCGATTTCCAAGAAGGCTGAGAGGAAGTATTTCATGCCGGCCAAGAACCACGAATGCCTCTATTCTCACCCGGCACCTAACTGCCTGGTGGTGGAATCGGTGAACCACCGGGAGCAGCAGGGCCAGCCCACGCCCACCCCCAAGAATAAAGATGCCAGGAGACTAGACTCTTTTGGTAGAAAACTTTACTCCTCTTCCAGTTTCCAGCTCAGGGTGGCCAACCATCAGGCCTTACTGAGCCGATATGATTTTAATTGATGGGAGTCCCTGCCAAAGTTCGAGCCACTCCTCCCAGAGCGTGATAGAAAGGACTTTAAGGCATTGATGGACAAGGGGGCAACGGCAGCCAAAGCAACCCTGCAGGCAGCATCGGACGCGGCGGATACGGCAGCTCACTCGATGGCCTCCGCGATCTCCATGTGCAGGGCGTCGTGGCTCCTCCTGTCTAGGCTTTCGGCGGGGCACTACTGGACTCCTTAAGGGCCATAGCCTCTCTCCCAGTGGGCAAGTTTGAAACCCTCAAAGGTCTCATTGCCTTGGTCTCGACTTTTCTGGTGACATCCAAGGGCGTGCCTTCAGATCCTAGGGCACATGGCGGCGTGCAAGTATGTGGTCTGCCACGCCAGGCTCCAAATGAGGCCCCTCCAGCTATGGCTAGCCTCCCAGTTCTCCCAGGCCCGGGACGGTCTGGACAAGGTCCTCACGGTACCGACCCGGGTAAACGCCTCCCTACAATGGTGGTCCTTCCCGGGCAACATGCTCCAAGGGTTCCTTTCCGGGAGACAGCCCCGTCAATAGACCTGGTGTCCGATGCGTTGGACTTGGGCTGGGGAGCCCACATAGGGAACATGTAAACCCAAGGGATGTGGTCAACCTCAGACCTGTCCCTCCATATAAATGTCAGGGAGCTCAGGGCGATACGGTTGGCGTGTGTAGCTTTTGTCACGCAGTTTCGCGGCAAGGCCAGAGTCCTTACGGACAACACTGCCATGATGTTCTACATCAACAGGCAAGGTGGGTCACGGTCCTCGGCCCTCTGCCGGAAAGCTCTGAGCCTGTGGGAATTCTGTATAGCCCACGACATCTCCCTGAGGGCTTTCCACCTACCAGGCGCCTGCAATACACAGGCCGATTGCCTCAGCAGGGTTTTCTTCCCCCATTACGAGTGGTCTCTCCACTCGGAGGTCACTCACCGGCTCTTCCGAGAGTGGGGAATTCCCCACATGGACCTGTTCGCGACCCGCCAGAACCAGCGTTGCCCCCTGGTTTTGTTCCGGGAGGGGGGAGGTGGTTGGGAAGGGACGCGATCTCAGATGCCTTCCTCCTGCAGTGGTTGGACCAGCTTTTCTATGCTTTTCCACCATTTCCCCTTATAGGCAAAGTCCTAGAAAAAATGAAAACAGACAAAGCGTATCATCCTTATCGCCCCAGCCTGGCCCCATCAACACTGGTACGGGACCCTACTGGACCTACTGGCAGGCCTTCCGAGGAGGTTGCTGCTACGCCCGGACCTCCTCTCCCAGGATGGGGGCCACCTCCTTCATCCCAATCTGGCCGTTCTCCACCTGACAGCATGGCTGCTCAGTGGCTAGACGAGGAGAGGAGGTATTCCGAGGAAGTCAGGCAGGTCCTCCTGGAAAGTAGGAAGCCATCCACACGCTGGACGTACCTGGCAAAGTGGTCCCGATTTTCCAGGTGGGTGGCGGAGCGGGGAGTCTCCCCATCGTCTGCACCGCTCCAGCTTATCCTTAGGACCCAAGGGTCAGGGTACACTTGGCGGTCATATCGGCCTTCCACCTGCCGGTGCAAGGGCACTCGGTCTTCTCCCATACTATGACCTACCGCTTCCTGAGAGGCCTTGACCGTTCATTCCCGTATGCTAGATCCCCTGTACCGCAATGGGACCTAAACCTGGTCTTGTCCCACCTCACGGGGCCTCCCTTTGAAACCTTGGCCACGTGTTCCTTGTCTCACCTCTCATGGAAGGTAGCCTTCCTTGTAACAATCAAATCGGCCCGACGTGTCTCAGAGCTCAGGGCCTTGACCTCGGAACCTCCATATATGGTCTTCCACAAGGATAAGGTCCAGCATCGCCCACACCCTGCATTCCTCCCGAACGTGGTCTCCGCCTTCCATATGGAACAGGACATCTTTCTCCCCGTGCTCTGTCCCAAGCCCCATTCCTCCAATGAAGAACGCTGCCTTCACACGCTTGATGTGCATAGGGCGCTGGCCTTCTACCTGGATCGGACTAAACCGTTCCAAAAATCCTCGCAACTCTTCGTTGCCTTGGCCGAGCGTATGAAGGGGCAGCCCATTTCCGTCCAGCGCCTTTCTCGCTGGATCACCTCGTGCATATGCACGTGCTATGATCTGGCAGGGGTTCCCCCGCCACTGATCATCAGGGCACACTCAACGAGAGCTCTGGCCTCGTCAGCTGCCTATGTAGTCCATGTCCCTATCCAGGACATCTGTAGGGCTGCCACCTGGTCTTCAGTTCACACATTCACTGCGCATTATGCAATCGTCTCCCAAACTAGGGATGACACCGGGTTTGGCAGAGCGGTACTGCGTCCCGGGAACTCGTGAACTCCTGCCCACCTCCAACAGATATGGCTTGGAATCACCTATTGTGGAATACACATGTGCAATCACTCAAAGAAGAAAAGACAGTTACCTGTTCCGTAACTTGTGTTCTTTGAGATGTGTTGCTCATGTCTATTCCACACCCCACCCTCCTTCCCCTCTGTCGGAGTTGTCCGGCAAGAAGGAACCGAGCGGGGCGGGAAGCGCATGGCTCCCCTTATAGCACGATATAGAGGCACCACTCCAGGGGTCGCAGCGGTGCTCCCCCCCCTACGGGTACTGCTAAGGGAAAAACTTCCAGCACCGGTGCATGTGGCACGCGCACACGCCTACTGTGGAATAGACATGAGCAACACATCTCAAAGAACACCAGTTATGGAACAGGTAACAGTCCTTTTTTTTTTTTTTTTTTTGTATCTGATTCCATGGGTATTAACACTTTTTCACAGCATTACTGTTTGTTGCTATTGGCCTGGCAAGAATAAAAAAAAGATCCAGAAAAAGTATGGGACGGGGCAAAGACCGCAATGATATGAGTGATGTCTCGTATTGCTTTCTCACTGATAAATCTGTGAGCTACCAAAACTTTTTGTCACTTGCCCCAGAATGCTTACATGATACATCAGTTTTATTACTGATATCTTATTATTTTCAAGATTCCTTTTTATGGGAGAGCTATATTTACTTTTTCCAATGTGGCTGTCACAAGTTATGAAGTCTATCCATTAACTGTAGTTTTTGAGATTATTTGTTTAGTGGGTAGCATGGAGAAATCACAGGTAAATATGTAGACTTTAGATGAGAGTATTGTATCCAATCTGTATTGGGAGAACAAAGAAAGTATTGTATAGCATCTTTAAAATATTAAGAAATTGCAGAGGGTTAATGGAGTTTCAGGCCTGTAGTGGGACAGTGGATGGAGAAAACTGGATGGGGTATTGGGTGAAGAGAGAGAGTTTTCTATGGAAACTAAAATATGAAAGATTGTAGTGTCTAGGTTTCAGTGGGAGAATATTCAGGTGGGAATGTTCAGTTTCAATCCTATATGCACTAACTGGTCATCAGTTAACAAATTATTATGAAGAGTTTTAGAATGTACATTAACTTCAGTTGTTTGAAAGTAAGGACAGTTAATTTTGTTGCTGTTAGATTTGATTGACATCCTCAGCAGATGTGTTAGAAAGCTTTGCAATTTTACTGGAGAAGATTTTATTGGGTATCTAAAAGGGGGGTATTATTGCACATAGAACTTTAATGTAAGTCTTTAAATACATACATGATTTTTTCCCCAATAGGCTACATTAATGAAAGTGGGCATCTGAACTTACAACGCTTTGAGAAATATCTTACAAAACTGTCAGATGTAAGTAACCTTTATTTGTACTGTGTATATATTATAGGGCTGCCCATCACTATAGTGTCTGAGTGCCTCATACTTTTAAAAATACGCAATCAAAATACAGTCTTCATAGCAAGTTCAAGCCTCCTATTTTGGACAAAAGCTGAAGTGCATTCACCCAAGGAGCTATCTCACTGCTGCGTAGAAGATTAAATCTATAGAACTCTTGACAATTGGCATCAGCTAAGAATCTGCCCCTGAATCTTTTACAGAATGACTCTATGGAAACTTATATTAGTTGAGGATCTGTCCCTCAGTTTTACACAAAAGCCTTATTTAAATATGCCTTGAACTTTAGCCAGGAAAGCACCATACTCTAGCTCTGATAAACCACTAGATGGAGCAAATTCTGTAGATGAGGACCCTGCTGCCAGTTGCACTTTTGTCACACAATCCAACCAATTGCCATCTGATCTGATTGTCATAATAGATTTTGGGGAGAGAGGCAGAAAATTAAGTAATTGGCTTTAGATTATAACCATTATCTTATATTGCACCTGAAATCAAATGGGGAATCAGTTTAGAGTATGGAAGTGTTAGATGCTCACAAAGATGGGCAGCAGCAGTCTGCACTAGCTGAAGCAATCCAGGTGGCTTTCAAGAGCCAGCCCCATTATGGTACATTGCAGTAATCTGTCCTAGAAGTGACAAAAGGCATGGACCATATCAATGTGGATAAGGGGTTATCTGCACATGAACATTTGACCCAAAAACTATTGACATTCTATAATGTACCTAGACATAAGATGGTACATTATCTCACATGGGTGAGATTCCAGAGGACTGGAAAAGGGAAAATATAGTGGCAATCTATAAAAAGGGGAATAAGGACATCCTGGGGAATTACAGACCAATCATCTTAACTTCAGTACTCGGAAAGATTATGGAGCAAATAATTAAGCAATCAGTTAGCAGACACCTTGAAGATAATAAGGTGATAAATAATAGCATGGATTTGTCAAAAACAAATTGTGTCAAACCAACCTAATAGCTTTCTTTGACAGGGTAACAAGCCTTGTGGATAGGAGGGAAGTGGTACATGTAGTATATCTTGACTTTAGTAAGGCTTTTGATACTGTCTTGCATGACCTTCTCATAAACAAACTAGGGAAATACAACCTAGATGGAGCTACAATAAGGTTGGTGCATAACTGGTTGAAAAAACATTCCCAGAGCTATCATTGGTTCATACCGATAGGGCATAAGGGCATATCGAGTGGGGTCCTGCACGGATTGGTCCTGTGTCTGGTTCCATTCAATATCTTCATCAGTGATTTAGATAATGGCATAGAGAGTATACTTATAAAGTTTGTGGATGATACCAAGCTGGGAGGGGTTGCAAGTGCTTTGGAGGTTAGGATTAAAATTCAAAATGATCTGGACAAACTGGAGAAATGATCTGAAATAAATAGGATGAAATTCAATAAGGACAAATACAAAATACTCCACTTCGCTATATTGAAGGAGCAATCAGTTACAAAATGGGAAATGACTGCCTAGGAAGGAATACTGCAGCAAGGGATCTGGGGGTCACAGTGGATCACAAGCTAAATATGAGTCAACAGTGGAAAACTGTTGTTAAAAAAAGCAAACATAATTCTGGGATGTCGTCTCAGGAGTGTTGTAAGCAGGACACAAGAAGTAATTCTGCTCTGCTAGAAATGTAAATATTCGTTTAAAAAGTTAACCATTTAAACTATTAAAATTATGTCATTTAAATGGTTAACTGATTAAAGGGAGAGGGTCTGAGGGCTCTGCAGGTGGGGCTGCTCCGGCTGGCCCTGCATGGCTGGGGCTGGCGGGCCCACGCAACTGGCCCGGGGCTGGGGGCTAATGGTTAGGGTCAGTTAACCAGTAAGACTAATGTTTTAACTGTTTAACTATTTAGTATTTTACATCCTTATGCTCTACTCCACACTTTGTTGCTTTCCACACTAATTAGGCCTCAACTGGAGTAGTGTGTCCAGTTTTAGGCTCCACATTTCAGGAAAGATGTGGACAAATTAAAGAAAATCCAGAGAAGAGAAAAAAAAATTAAAGGTCTAGAAAACATTATCTATGAGGTGAGATTGAAATAATAGGGTTGTTTAGTCCGGAGAAGAGAAGACTGAGGGAGAACATAACAGTTTTCAAGTACATAAAAGGTTGTTACAAGGAGGAGAGAGAAAAAATGTTCTCTCTAACTCCTGAGGATAGTACAAGAAGTAACGGGGTTAAATTTCAGCAAAGTCAGTTTAGGTTAGAAATTAGGAAAAATTTCCTGTCAGGGTGGTTAAGCGCTGGAATAAATTGCCTAGGGAGGTTGTGGAATCTACGTCATTGGAGATTTTTAAAAGCAGATTAGAGAGGGATGGTCTATATCAGTGGTCACCAGCCAGTCAATCGCGATTGACTGGTCGATCCTAGAGTATCTCCCAGTCGATTGAGATCTCCGGCGGCACAGTGGAGCTGCCGCTAAAACAGGTACCCTGCTTGCTCCACGCCACACCCGGAAGCGGCCAGCCCAGCCCCGGGGGGTGTGGGGTGTCTCCCTCCGCGCGCTGCTCCTGCATGCAAGCACCGCCCCTGCAGTTCCCATTGGCCGGGAATGGAGAACTGTGGCCAATGGGAGGTGCGGGGATGGTGCTTGCAGGGAGGGGCAGTGAGCGGAGCCACGTGCCATCCCGTCCCCCCACCCCCAAGGGCTGCAGGGGCGTGTTGGCCCCTTCCGGGAGTGGTGTGGGGCTGGGGTAGGCAGGGAGCCTGCCTTAGCGGCAGCCACACTACACCACCAACCGGGAGCTGCCGGAGGTAAGTGCTGCCTGGCAGGAGGCCGCACTCGAGCCCTGAGCCCCCTCCTGGAGCTAGCACCCCATACACCCTCCTGCACCCTGAGCCCCCTCCTGCATCCCAAGCCCCAGCCCATATCCCCTCCTAGAGCCAGCACTCCGTACCCTCTGCGCCAGCCCTGACCCCCCTCCTAGAGCCAGCACCCCATACCTCCTTCTGCACCCCAACACTCTGCCCCAGTTCGGAGCCCCCTCCTGCACCCAAACTCCCAGAGCTTGCACCCTTCATCCCCTCCTGCACCCCAACGCCCTGCCCCAGACTCAGCCCAGAGCTCCCTCGGCTCCAGTCCAAAGCCCGCACCCCCTCCCAAACTCCAACCCCCTACCCCAGCCCAGTGAATGGGGGTGGGGGAGAGTGAGTGATGGAGGGGGGCGTGGAGTGAGTGAGGCAGGGCTTTGGAGAAGGGGCGGGGTAGATCCTGGGTTGCCCTTAAATTCAAAAAGTGATCTTGGGCGTAAAAAGGTTGGAGACCACTGGTCTAGGTAATACTTAGTGCTGCCTTGAGTGCAGGGGACTGGACTAGAAGACCTCTTGAGGTCCCTTCCAGTTCTGTGATTCTGTGATATTGTAGGATGGATAATATAATTCAAAAATCGTCTAATTTCTTTAAACTGTTTCAGGTTACAAGAAAAAGAAAAAGTAGGTTTTCAATATAAATGTTCTGCCTCTATAATAAGAGGTGGTTCATGTTAGATTGCCTCCGCTCATGGGTTAAACATTCATGTGCAGATAACATTTTATGTAATCTAATGCAGCTCTTACAGATGACAAAAATGGCTTGCATTTTCTGTTTCATATGCTACAGTGTTCATTCAGCAATAGTGTACATTGCCTTTTTAAAATAATTTTTCTAAATTTACTTTAATCTCTGTACACAGTTTGATCGTGAACATTTCAGCGAAGTCTTTGTAGACCTAAAATGGTTTGAAAGCAAAGTAGGCAATAAATACCTCAATGAGGCAGCTGGTATCGCAGCAGAAGAAGCAAGAAGCCATAAGCAAAAGAAACAGAAGGTTGGTATTTTAAATGTACAGCTCTGAAAATGTAGAAATATTCAGCTATTTGTCAAAACATATGAGTAAAGATCTGTTAAATTATTTTTAAAATCTCAAACTGTTAAATGTTGTGGTATTTTATATTTTTTACTTCTGGTTTTTTAGAAATCAGAAATGATGGAAAAATTTAATATTTGTTGAGCGATATATCTGTCTTATACATACGTATACATTCATACGCACTTTCCAGTGCCATTTTTCTCAAATTAAGCACATACTTTTTAAAAAAAATAAAAGATAGAAATCAGTGTGTCTTTCCATCAGCTGCTATTGAACATCATTCAGAGGGAGAAGTCATACTGTGAAAGTTAGTCTTGGCAGCTCAGAAGATGGGTGTGTCAGTCAGATGTTTGATGCTGATTAAGTAAACAGCTTGCTCCATCAGAGCTGATATCTTAGATTTTACATCAAAATGGCAATGCTGTTTTAAAGTCACTTAAAAGTATTACCTTCTTTCTCTTGCACTAACTCTTTCCTCTATTTTTGTCTATGTCCCCAACCTCACAACTCCTATTTTCCATTCTGTCTGCCCCTCCTATATGCCTTCAGCAGCAGAAGTGGACCACTCTTATTTCTGCACAGTGGCATTTTTCCAGTGGTACTGACAGTAGTAGCAGCAGCAGCAGCATGAAACTCAGCTGTGATCAACTCCATCAGTGTACTTAACTCTGCCACTCACTAGTACTGTTTGGGTTTTGTAAGAGTAAGCCATATGCTTTAAAATGCATATGTTTTAATATGATTAGCTGTACTCTTGGATACTTTTTCATCTGTCGTAGATGAGGAGGGTAGCTGTACAGTAGTAGATAACCTTTTTGATTGCTCCATAAAATGTCAGTGACAGCTGCTCAGAAGGCTAATTTCACGGCTACTGTGGAAAAGTGGCTAGATTAGGGGCTGATGATGTCACTGGCACCTACTATAAGTGAAGAAAAATGTAGCACCCAAATGAAGACAATAATTGGCCAGTGTGATCAAATAAATTCCATCTGCCCCCCTTTTTTAGAGGCTTTTTAATCAGACATAGATATTAAACAATATTTAAAAGTTTTTTCCTCATAGTTCCTTTAAAAAAAAACTCTGTGTGTGTATGTATGTGTATATATAAAGCATTTTTGAAAAACAGTTATAGGGCAAAACAAGTGCAACTCTTTTGGTGTTTGTTTTAAAAAGTAAAAAATTTCTTCAGCATCTTAGTTTTTAAGTTGCACATTAAATGGTAATGTGTTATGTTACCTACATATTGCCATGTATTTCTTTTTTGTTTACCTCAACTGTGAATTCATAATTTTAATAGGTTCAGGAAAACTCCATGTGTTTGGCTGCTCTAGAGAAAACTGAGGATGGAATTATGACTTCTTCTAAAAGTAAGTGCAAAGTATTATGCAGAATACATACTGTAGAACCCTGATGATCTGTACAAATATTTGGGAAACCAATTGTGAATTGGTAAAGAAGTGCAAACAAATACAACTTAAAAAAATAACAGCAATATATTTTTTCCTAGTAACCTATGTGGGTGAGGACAAAAATAATGGATTTACTTTTTTGCTTGTGCGTTTGAGTTTTAAAATTAGTCCAAAGCACCAAAGCATAGGATATGTAATTTTTTTCATTTAGAAATTTAAATATATTGGTCAGTTTATAAAAACAATGAATTTTTAGTGATATTATAAGTCACTATTAAATCTTTGCCATATTTTGGTTCAAATTATAAGTGTGCAGATTATTATTTTCTGACAGCATTTAGCCTGCTCCCATAAGTTTTTTTGGTCACAGAGCACATAGTGGCAAATTGTATAACTTTTACAACCTTTGACCATTTGCAGACTCTTAATCCAGTAAGGTTTTGGACCGAATGATACGTGTTTTATTGTTCATTCTCTTCCTGTACAGAAAGGAATATTTCTCTTCAACTGTGAATTCAGGAATAAAACTACAGTAACAATGTCAACACTGAACAGTCTAAAATCTTTTGGCTAAGAAATGAATGTTAATCCAGTCTCTTTATTGGCTTCATTTCAGATGCATTGGAAGATGAACAAGAAGATGAAGACCTGTTTGAGACTGAGTTCAGGCAATACAAGAGAACGTATTATATGACTAAGATGGGTGTGGAAGTAGTTTCAGAGTAAGTCTATACTGAGCTTGCTTTCATTTTTTAAAATACAGAAGACAAGTCTCTTAAGATATGTCTACACTGCAATTAAAGATCTGTGACTGGCTGGACCAGCTCTGGGACCCCCCCCCACCTGCAGAGTCCTAGAGTCCGGGTTCCAGCCCAAGCCCGGACTTCAACACCTCAGTTAAACAGCCCCTTAGCCCAAGCCCTGCGAGCCCAAGTCAGCTTGCATGGGTCAGCTGCAGGTGTCTAATTGTATGTTGACATACCCTCAGTATCTGGAATCTAAGGCAGCATATCCAGTCCTCAGGAAAGGAGTTCTTGGTGTTAAGCTATAGCCATGACACTTCTTTTTGTATCAGTCAGAGGTATTAGTCAACTGAGAAGTTTGCCATGATAAGCCCTCCTGTGCCAGAAGGAAGATCCATTGATATGACTCCAAAAGGGGCCCAGAAGACCGTGTAGTTGCTAATTGTTCAAGAAGCTTTCCCTTGAATCATATATTAGTAAAAAGTAAATAAACAAGGAAAAAAATCAATACGTAACATTTCTTTCTCTTTTAAGTGACTTCCTCGCTGGTCAGGCTGAATGTTATGTCCAGGCAATACAGTGGATTTTGCACTATTACTACCATGGGGTTCAGTCATGGAGCTGGTAAGAGAATGAATGTCAGATGAGAGATCCTGAATTGTGTTGGGATCAAGTGAACTTTGAGTAATATATTGACACCATTTAATGCAGGGGTAGGCAACCTATGGCACGTGCGCCGAAGGCGGCACGCGAGCTGATTTTCAGTGGCACTCACACTGCCCAGGTCCTGGCCACTGGTCCGGGGGGCTCTGCATTTTAATTTAATTTTAAATGAAGCTTCTTAAACATTTTAAAAACCTTATTTACTTTATATACAACAATAGTTTGGCTATATATTACAGACTTATAGAAAGAGACCTTCTAAAAACGTTAAAATGTATTACTGGCACCCGAAACCTTAAATTAGAGTGAATAAATGAAGACTCGGCACACCATTTCTGAAAGGTTGCCAATCCCTGATTTAATGTATGTTTGTTTGCCTCTGTACTGTATATGTTGCAGTACTGAAATTAACTCAAATTACTTTTTTTTTCTTCTGTAGGTATTATCCTTATCATTATGCACCTTACCTATCAGACATTCGCAATATCAGTAAACTCAAAATCCAGTTTGAGTTAGGAAAACCTTTCATGCCATTTGAACAGCTTCTAGCAGTACTTCCAGCAGCTAGCAAAGATCTGCTACCTAAATGCTACGAGGTAGGCTTTATAACTTGATTTTTACCAGTTTTATCATATACTGCGGACCCTCGCTAGAACGCGTGTCCATATAGTGCAAATTCGGTTATAGCGCAGGACTGCGCATGGATCCCAAATTTACTTACCATCATTGGAATCCACGGTAACGTGGTCCCCGCGTTAACGCAGGACCACGCATGGATCCAAAACCCCGCGTTAATGCGGGGGTCTGGTATCCCTGTTATTTTTTTAAATAAGAAACTTCCTTCTGCTATCTTTTCTGTTCCTGTTGTCAAACTGAGCTTGACATTTAGATTGTAATTATATGATTTTAAAGCATAACATTTTACTAAATTATTCTAATACAATCTTTGGATGCACTATGTAATTTCTGAATGAGGCAGTTAAACTATCAGTTCATTCCAGTTTAGCCTTTACTTTGATTTAACATCATGCCTCACCTGTTTTGTCATCCTAGACTGAATCTTAAATTATCTATGAAAATATAGCCAGACTGAATTCCCCTGTTGTATTGCTTTCTGATTTTCTAGCATTTGATGACTAGTGAAGATTCTCCAATCATAGAATACTATCCTCCAGACTTTAAAACAGACTTAAATGGAAAACAGCAAGAATGGGAAGCAGTAGTATTAATCCCATTTATTGATGAGGTGAGTGCTTTCAACTCATGAAAAAAAATGTGTAACCAAACCCACACAAACTCTTGCATAAGTTACAGTTAAGATTGTAAATAAATAAGTTTTTAAATTGGCATATGATTATTAGGACATTGAAAAATGTAAACGTGTTGCCTGGAAATTCACAGTTAACCTTAAAGTTTAAAATATAATGTTTTTAATTCAGAATACTGGTAGTTACATTTCTACAAGCAACCTTCGCTTTGGAAGGCGTAGTAATTTAAACTTGAAAAATTGGCTTTCTCTGATTGTTGGCATTGTAAGTAGGTGGCTTGTTTTAGTTGGAAATATTTTTTTCCATAAAGACTCCTTATTTTTTCATAATTACACCAATGTACAAAAAAAGCCGCTTGGACAAAGTCTACATAGAAGAAGAATCACTTGATATGAACAAACAGTAATAAGCAGAAGACTTTAAAGGGAAACATTTAAAATTTCAATTTGGTTCAAAGTATTTGTCATTATTATTAAAGCAAAGGTAAAAGAAATAAAATGATCAAGGTTTTTTTGTTTTTTGGGTTTTTTTTGCATACAAGGTAACAATTGACAGTATATCAGTTTGTATGAAATTAAGATTGAGCCGGTCAAAGAATGAAAGAAATTATCATCATAATAACAGGATACCCCCAGAAAGGAAAATAATAAGTAGAGAAAGAAGCCGAGTAGAGTCATGAAGGCTCAGGTCCTGCACTGAGAACTGGTTCTCAGAGCACGATTGCGTGGTTCTCAGAGCACGATTAGGGGCCTTGATGAGTTTCTGAGATATGGGGAGCAAATGACTGTTCACATGGGGACTATTATATGGAAGACCTAGGGGAATGTAATGATTATACATATGAGTATCTGCATCTACAGTAGTCATTACACAATTTCTGTGAGGTTCACAGCCTGTTACCTGGCATTGTCCAGCAGAATCTGTTCGGATTTTGTTGTGTATGTTAAATTTAAACTGGAAGAGGATGAAGTGAATTTTACATTATGGCAAATTTGTGTCCAGTTTTCGTGTCCAGTTTTCATGCCCCAGACAGATTCCAAGTTAATCATTGTATTTTGTTCTAGATGGGAGCAGGATAAAAAGCAGGAAGCACTTATCCGCTAGTTATGTTGGCCAGCAAAGTGCAGATATCCACCTGCCTTGGAGATAAATTCTTGAAGTGAGAAAGCTGGAATGATTGACTTGAATAGCAGATGCGGTTTTTAAGTAGAGTGGGAAGCTTGAGTCAGGAAGATTATACTTTTTTCCTTTGAAATATTTTTGATTGCTCATCTCACTTTGACCATGAGTTTTAAAATATTTAATTTAATAAAAAATTAACTACCAGTGGAATTTTTAATTTAGAAACGATTGCTGCAAGCCATGGAATCTTGCAACAAGTGCCTACTGGAAGATGAGAAGCAAAGGAATACTCACAGTGAGTGCCTAATGTACTGGTATGACAAAGACACAGAGTTCAAATACCTGTCACCATGGCCAGAGAAGTTCCCTGCTATACAAAGATGCCACACCAGGTAATTTGGTAGTAATTATTCTATAGTGGATCAACTAAAAAATATTTGGATAACCTGTTTTTAGAATTTTTATATTTTTTCCTAGCATTTTAGTCACAGCATCTAACAATTGGTACAGAAACAGTAAAAACAGACACTTAATTGTGCTGCCCACGATGAATGATAATAGTCATAGTTGCTAAAAGCCAGAGCAGCCACATTTTGCAAAACAAATTAACCAGACACTAAACCACATGCCTTATGCAATGGTCTGCAGGTTTGGTGACTCTCAAGGCACTAAGGGAAGCAGATTCCCAAGGTGGGATGCTCTGAGAGCCTTGCTACCAGTCTTATGAAGGTAAGACCCAGGATATGACCTCAGGAGCGTCCCAGAGAATCTCAACTGTGACGGTGAGGACTGTGAAGAGAATGATGTAAATACCTGGGTAGAGGCGGTTCCTCAGCACACCAGTTCTAAAGCACTAGAGTGCTAAAGATTATCACTAGCATTTTGCATTGTGTTCAAACAGTGCAGAGGGTTAAGCTCAGGTGTTAAGTGATTTATTTGTCTCACTCAGGAAGCAGACAGCTGTACTTATGAACAGGAGCTTCTAGGTGATCTTCAAGGATAGCCCTAAGAAAAATATTTTCAATAGTCTAGCTTGGAGGTAGTGAAGGCAAGGGAGTATTATTGTAAGGTTCCAATTAGAGAGGAATGAAGATCCTTAGATGATGAAAGGTACTGTGTGCCACCTTTATTATCTTAGAATTTTGCAATAACGATGACTCTAATAAGACTCTGAGTCTGTAAAATATTTGGTTAAAAGGCAAGTATTACACTCTCTGTATAGTATGTATATACTGTTTACTCCTATTGCTCCTATTTCTTCCTCTGGCCAGCAGACACTACTTCAGTTTTATCTGAACTGAGTCATGGCAAGCTGCCTTTCATCCATATCCCTATTTTTGTCGTGCTCAGAGAAAGAAATGAGCCAGTAACCTCTCTGGTTGATGAGCAGTCAACACAGTTGAGTATATCAATGACACAGAACTGAGTCTCACTCTCCTAGCACCTTTACATATCCATTGAAAGGTGGGATAACAAGATTGGATTCCACAAGTGAGGGCCTATAGGGAGGCTTTTAGTTGCCCAACAATACTTTATGGCACCTCAGTGTGTGCGCACACCCATTGAAGGACTAGTACAAGATCCTGCAGGCTTGTTGTCCATGCATCACGGTTAATTAAATTAAAAGCTATTAATAGATCTAATAAAATCAGCATGAATTCCATACCCTTGTCTATTGTTAGAAGTAGATAATCCATGGATAACCGTCTTTGTTCCAGTCATAGTCAAATACAATCCCAATTTGATAAGATTGAAAGAAATTGCTCGAATTAACTCATCATCACTTCTTGATAACCTTTTAGAAAAGTCAGAGATGATGGCAATTACTGAGGTTGTTAATGTCCAAAAATGGTTTCTTGAGCATGGGCCTAACCACTGCTAGTTTAAGCATGACTGACAGATGGCTCAACAAACAAGCCCATTTTTGATTGATTATTAACATCTCTTTACTGGCTTTAATTATCCATGAAGGACATGAGATCATGTTTAAAGAGAGATTTTTTTAGGAAGAGTTTGAAAGTAGTTTTCTCCAGTACACATTTTGAGAACTAACTTTTCCTTGATATCATGATATTCTTTGTTGAAGTTGTTTTAGTAAATACATTGTTTTTATTAATATTTTTATTTTCTAGGTATAAAACAATATCTTTGGATGCCTGGCATGTAGAAATAATCCACAATAAGATAACTAAAGTTAACACGAGCGCATTGTATTTTTGTGGGTTTCCTACTCTAAAACATATTGCACATAAGGTAAATGATTACTATACTTTGGCATTTCACCCCAACTATTTCACAAATTATTAGGGAAAGATTTGACATATGTTTTGTGTGCTGTCTTTCTCTCACCTAGTTCTATCTTAAAAAAAGTGGGGTACAAGTATTCCAGCAGAGCAGCCATGGTGAGAATATGCTGTTAGAAATCATATGTGACAAGGATTCAAAAGAGCCGGTAAGTATCTCTCTTTCTAATGATAGTCTTAATTATGCACTATATTAGTTAAATATGCCCAATGAGAAGGTTAGGTTATTTATATCACCTTCTGTGTTGTGTTATCATAGGAGAAGATCAAAGGAGAAAAATACATACAGTGAAACCTGCCCTAGGGACCACCTCTCATAGGCAACCCCATGTGTTAAGTAACCAATTTAAATTGTTACCAAGATATTTGGTATAATTTTGTTCAGTCCCTGTTAGGCAAGCAGTAATGCTTGGCTTACACATGGAGCTTTGCATAAATGTGTTACACTCTAATTTTTGCAAAACAACGTATGAGGTAAATAAGTTTCCCTTGCATTTGTACAGAGGGAGAAACTGTGAGGCAGACAGAGGCTGTTACATGCCCAAGGCCAGAGAACAAATCACTAGAGAAGCTGGAATTAGAACTCTTGGAGTTCTTGTGTTTCAGTCCCAGGCTCAGACCTTTAGGTCATATTGCCTTCTCATTTCTACTAGTTCTTCAAGTAGTCTCATGACAGGTTTCACTGTACATTTGGAGATGGTTACCTATATAAGCTCACAGAAAAAAACTTTAATAAAAGGCACTGTAGTCAATAGTAAAAGAGATTAAATGATAAAGGGTAGGGTGGGGGAGGAGAAATTAGGGTGATTAAATGTCCTTGGTTAGTGGGAATCTGTTGGAGGATTTGGATTTTGTCCCCATTTTAAAATATTGGAAGTTACTCTCTCTAATGCTAACTGGAAGGGTATCTACACAGCTCATGAAAGTGAACCTCCTAGCCTGGGTCACAGACTTGGGCTCGTGGGGCTTGCACTACTGCACTAAAAATAGCTGAGTAGATGTAGCGGCTCAGGCTTTGAAGCTTGGGGAGGATGGTGGCTTCCGTAAGTATACAATAAGTATCACAATCCAAAGTGAATGTGTTAAAAGCTCTTAAGGCTTTTCATTGTGTATGACTGATAAACTGATACCACTTTCAAATTAGAATTTTTTATTATAGTCAATAATGCTTTCATGTTAATTTCGTGTTTTATAGACAAATATTGCAGTAGTTTTATTTGTTTGGTAGAATAACTGAAGTAGAGTAACTTTTGTTTTTCAGTCTGTAGAAAATGTAGCCAGTTTGGTGCTTGGGAAGTCTGTTTTTGTTAACTGGCCACACCTTGAAGAAGCCAGAGTTATTTCTGTGTCAGATGGAGAAACTAAGTAAGAACAATTGCATGGAAAGTTGTCTGCCTATGTTACTCATTTACTTTCCCAAATGTTCCAAAGGCTACATGTGACGGGTTGGATCACAGAAACCCCCTTGGGAGCTGCCACCCAATGTGCAAAGACTACCCCTGCTCCTATTTTCCCTGCCAGCTCAGGACTCCAATACCCTGTCTTGCTGAGCCAGACACTCCTGTCTGGCTCCAACACAGACCCAGGGTCTGAATCACTTGTCCCAAAGCTGCAAGTTTACCTGAAAACAGCTCACAGTAGTGTGCTTGTCTTTAGCACTCAGATGCCCAAATCCCAATGGGGTCTAAACCCAGATAAATCCGTTTTACCCTGCATAAAGCTTATGCAGAGTAAACTCATAAATTGTTCGCCCTCTATAACACTGATAGAGAGATATGCACAGTTGTTTGCTCCCTCAGGTATTAATACATACTCTGAGTAAATTACTAAATAAAAAGTGATTTTATTAAATACAGACAGTAGGATCTAAGTGGTTCAAAGTAGTAACAGACAGAACAAAGTAAGTCACCAAGCAAAATAAAACAAAATGCGCAAATCTATGTCTAATCAAACTAAATACAGATAATCTCACCCTCAGAGATGCTTCAGTAAGTTTTTTCTCAGACTGGACACCTTCCAGGCCTGGGCACAATTCTTTCCCCTGGTACAGCTCTTGTTGCAGCTCAGGTGATAGCTAGGGGATCTTCATGATGGCTCCTCCCTCCCTTGTTCTCTTCCACCCCTTTATATATCTTTTGCATAAGGCGGGAACCCTTTGTCCCTCTGGGTTTCCACCCCCCCCCTCACTGGAAAAGCACCAGATTAAAGATGGATTCCAGTTCAGGTGACATGATCACATGTCACTGCAAGACTTCATTACTCATTTGCCAGCGCACACATATACAGGAAGACTCACAGGTAAATACAGCCATCTGCAGACAATGGGAGTCATCAAGATTCCAAACCATCCTTAATGGCCCACACTTGACATAATTACAATAGGCCCTCAGAGTTATGTTTTATATTTCTAGTTTTAGATACAAGAGTGGTACATTTCTACAAATAGGATGATCACATTCAGTAGATTATGAGCTTTGTAATGATACCTTACAAGAGACCTTTTGCATGAAGCATATCCCAGTTACATTATATTCACTTATATTTTTATAAAACCATATAGACTGCACAACGTCACACTACACAGTAGTCAAACTATTTTTTAAAAGCAGTGATTCAGAGTGCACTTAGATTAAATTACTTATTTAAAAGGGGACAGAGCATCTCAGGGCAGCAGCTAGAAGAGGAAGCTCTGTTTAACATGGTTCTTGGGGCTTGAATAGTTCTGTGGAGGCACAGATCTCCATTGTTTCCCTCAAGATCTGTGGGACAAACTCCATGCTTATTCTAATGGGAGAGGCTCTCTCACACAGAAACCTGGACAGAATAATTTGAGGGAAACTGCCAGAGGAATCTCTTTGCAGAGTTTTCCTCTCTGCACACCCCATGCAGGTTTTTCACAAGTGTGGGGGAATCTGGCCTGTTAAGTGTGTTGATGTGGAATGGAAACCATCCTATAAGTCTTCCAATACTTGAAAAAGAGCAAATATATTTTCTAACTAAAATAAGTGCATTAATAATTAGTAAAGTGCATATCTATCTGTTGAAGTTAATTATACACTTATAATATCTTCAAGGTTTTACTTGGAAGAGCCACATGGGACACAGAAGCTTTACCTGGGAAACACTGTGCCACCAACTAAAGTGGCGTATGTTGGAGAGAAAGAACAGAACATCTGGTTGAAAGAAGTTCAGGGGATTTCAGAACAGTAAGTAGTTAGAAAATTAAATTTTGTAATTTTACTGTTTAAAGCTCAGCTACTTTTTGTTGCTTCATTATGGATTTAGTTAGAAGACTAGGGCTGTTGCATACATGATAATAAAAGATGGCAAGCTAGTGAATGAGGGTGTTGAAAGATAAGAATTTGGGGTGAAACATTAAACACAGTCACTTAATAATTACTTCTCCCATAATGGCATCTAACTTTGTAAACTGAACTGTTTTTTATTAGCAGTGTTGACTAATAATTCTCCTGACCGATCCTCTCCATTATTTGTTTGAAGGAAGAGTTGAAACACCCACTTCTCTTCCTGTAGTTGCAGCAACATTCAGTGATCGTTCCAGAGGTTCCACCACTCTGGCTTCATTCCATCTTCATTGCACTGTGGGGCTTCCCAAAGCTTTCAGAAATGCATGCATTCTCTGCATATGAGGGAATCCGGCATGCAGTGCAATTTGAATGAATCCACAGCAGCAGAACCCCCTGTAGAAGTTACTGAATCCTACTGCATATTTGCTGTAAACATTGGAAAGGGAAGTGGGTTTGTGATCCCCATCCCACTCTGAAGATCTTTGGAGCACAGTTGGTGTCCCTAGGAGGACTGTTGGACAGGTCTTTCAACTGTATGGGGTTCAGGTGCCCATGCAGCAGCAAGATGATTAATTGTATACTGACATGCAGGGTGGATCAATAACATTGACATCTTTGGTATTGTAACTTAAATTTATGATTTCTTGATGTCTGTACTGCTCTACTCTCTTTGAAGTTCATGGAGATGGAGCAGAATTTTGGAACCGCATGATCTGGCCACACCCCCTCAATTCCTGCTTGCTTCCAGTTTCTTTGCCTCTGTGTGGATGGCAGTTTTTTCAACCTTTACATCTGCCTCAGGGGTTTCTGGTCAAAATTTGGTATATTGGTGAGCAGCCCTTCCACCCCCTCCTCTGCCCGGGGCCAGTTTTTTAGCTGGATGTTGGAATCCCCCCGAGCCTCAGCTGCAGTGCCTCCCTGCTGGCTCATGTGCACATGCAGGTATGGAAGAGCAGCCTAAAAAGCACTGAATGAAATCCAAACAGTGCTCCATCTGTGAGACTGCCCTCCCAGGCTTGGCAGATACTGTTTTGTGCCCAGTCTGCACCCAGCCTTCTGTTACTAACTCTGTTAGGTTCCAGAGCTATGAGTGGGACAGTCATGTAGGATCCCCTGTCCACCAGAGCAGATGAGACTCTAATATGGTGTGATGGACTCAGACCAGAAGGATATAAGAGAGTAGTGGAAGGCAGGTGTATCAGCCTCAGAATGAGCAGGTCTTTGTTCCCTGGATAGCCAAACAAAGGCTACTCCAGGCCAATCAAGATACCTGATGCCAATTAACCCATTAAGGCCATTAGGCTAATGGAGATAGCTGGAACCAATTAAAGTCCCACTCATACTGCTTAAAAGTTCTCCTTTCCAGTTCTCTCCAGCGGGGCCAGGTGAAAGGAGCTGGAGGAGAAGAAGCATTGCTGAATCCTGACGTAAGGGTGAAGCTGGGGAAAAAGGGATCATGGGGAAGTGGCCCAGGGAATCAAAGAGGTGTCAGTGATGACTGGAAAGCCGCCAATAGCTGCTACCATTAGGGTTCCTGGGCCGGAACCCGGAGTAGAGGGTGGGCCCGGGTTCCCCCCCACGCTCTACAGAGATCCCCTTGAGAGAGGAAGCAGACTTTGGTCCAGGCAGGAGGCTGAACTGCACCTACTGAGCTCTAAGGAGCAACAGAGACTGTGGGTATTCCACCTTCCCACCTCCCATACTGGCCTATGATGAAAGTAGCTCAATAAGCTGTGACCTTAGCCGCTATACTGAGAAAGGGAGGTCACATTGAGGGCCTTAGCGAGCTTCTGAGGCCACTGAATCCGCCTGGAAGCACGGGATCCACCAATACAGGCTCGGAGATTTGTCACAGTGGGAAAAATGGATCTGGAGTCTATGGGAAGAGTTGGGAGAGTGTTCAAGGATGAGGAGGATCCAAGAGTTACTCAAGAGTTAAGTTCCAAGGAGCCCTTGAAGACCAGAAGAGGCAGACTTCCCTTCCCAGTTTTCCCACAAGGAGGGCCCTGGAAGTCATTTCCCCTCTCCCTTCTGGGAGGGGATGGGATGGGATCCAGGAGGACTCAAAAAGAAATATCACAAGGGGACTTCAGACCCTCAGCAATCTAGCCGCAAAAGGCCTTATCAAACCTGCAATGGAGTTCATATGCTCTCTAAGTGAGCTAAAAACACTTTAAAAAAAGGGGGGGGGGGCAAAGAAAGTGAAAAGGATGAAGAAAAAACTTAAAGGATCTCGGAGTTATGATTCCTCTGATTACTCTTCCTCCTTCCCCTCCTCCACAGAGGATGGTAAATTGTCAGGCTTTGATTCCAGTCAGGACCAGGGAAAGACTCAGCAAAGGATTTTTCCCCTCTGAGAAATTTGAGACCCTGTGCAACGTGGTTGTTGTATCCACTATTCAGATTCAACCTGAACAAAATACCAAAAGTAAGCCTCTAAGGAGATTTTTCCCCTTGAAATCCTCACCTGATGCCGTGATTCCCCTACACTCCTCCTCCAAAGAAGTAATCAGGGATGAATGGGGTAAGCCAGACACAGGCAAGCACATTAACAGAAATGATCTTTGGTTCTATTGGATCCAGGAATCAGAAGTCTCAATTACTGAGATACCAAAGGTTAACAGTGCTGTAGCATCCCTGGCTAACAATATGGTTATCCTTTCAGAAGAGAAGTTCTATCCTAAGGACCCCACAGATAAAAAAATGGAGGCCCCTCTCAAAAATAGACTGAGGCCTTCTCAGCCTCTCTCACAGTGTCCCTAGCAGCTACTTATGTTGCAAAGCATCTCCCTCCTGGCTAGAAGATCTCAGAGCCCTCAAGAATAGATGACCTTGACTTCAGCTCTATTTTAAAGAAAGTTTCCCCGGCAACAACCTTCATTGCTGATGCCTCAAAGGACATGATGGGATTATCAGCCAAACCCATGGCCTCCAGCCCCGTGCCCAAGCACCGCCTATGGCTTTGTCCCTGGAAGGTGGATAGCTAGTTGAAGCAGGTGCTGTGCTCTGCTGAATTCATGGGCGGCCTGCTTTTTGGAGAGAAGCTAGATAAAGTGGTGGTGGACAGTGCCTCAAAATCTAAACCGTCTCTTCTGAGGCCACACAATGCCTTTGAGAGACTATAGACTGGCCTTCTGACAAAAGCATTTGTTTCAGCCTTCATCCTGGCAGAAGTATCAGTGACGAGAGAGCAGGTTCTCCAGAGGAACTATGGCTTGGGAGAAAAGCCCTGAGCCCTGCCACTCCCAAAGCCTCTTTATGACAAAGACTGCATAGGTCTCTGCCCAGAGTTGAAACTAGGGGACAGGATTTCCCATTTCCTTCAACCATGGAACCAGTGGGTCAGAAAGACTGAGAGTCAGGGATACTTCCTCGAGTTATGGGGTTTACCCCATCTGTTTTTCATCCAGTCTGCCATCTCGAAAAGCATGGTCTAATCCATGAATGAGAATATTTCACCTCCCGGATGTGGGAGTAATAGAGAGTGTTCCCTCAGAAGAAAGATTCTCAATGTTCTACTCCAACTTCTTTATTGTTCAGAAGCATACAAGGGGAATCTGAGCCATTCTACATCTCAAAAGGCTCAACAAGTGGATGAAGAGAATGAAGTTCTTCTTCGAGTGCTTGCTCATATCCATTCCATTAGGTGTGCGCGCGCTGCGTGCACGATCGTCGGAGAATTTTCTACCCTAGCAACACCGGCGGGTCGGCTGTGGAGCCCCCTAGAGTGGCGCCTTCATGGCGCTGAATATATACCCCAGCCGACCCGGCGCCCCCTCAGTTCCTTCTTACCGCCCCTGACGGTCGTTGGAACTGTGGAGCGCGGCGTAGCTGTTCTCCACTCTCCCTAGCTTATTCGTCATTCGCAGTTATAGTTATAGTTATAGTTT